CTCATTTTGAGTCACATCGACTACTGCAGTTGTTTATATTAGCTGAAATTTCATGTAGCCTGAATACATATTGATTTCCAGTCATCTGGACAACTACAGAAAATATTCACATGGTCCTGGCCCAGGATACTTTGGTAAACACTCTGATGCCCATGAAATAAAATAAAAAAGAGGAGAGTGATTTAAATTTCATTAGGCTCCACTGCCTATTTCATCTGTTTAGAGAAATAAACAGACCCTTGTTGTTATTCTGTATGTTTGAGATCTTCACTTGTATTTCTTTAACCCCCCGCCCCAAGGGACTCAAGTTCATTCTTCATCGGTGGAAATGTTGGATTGGAAATGGTATAAAAGCCTTTGGGTATCTTAATTCAAAGTTAAATATTTATTTTACTTTTTTAAAAATTTATTGGAGTAAATTTGGTTTATAATATTGTGTTAGTTTCTGGTGTATAGCAAATTAAGTCAGTTATACACATACATATATCCACTCTTTTTTAGATTCTTTTCTCAATAGGTCATTACAGAATATTGAGTAGGTTTCCCTGTGCTATACTACAGATCCATATTAGTTATCTATTGTATATATAGTAGTATGTATATGTCAATCCCAATCTTTCAATTTATCCTCCCCCACTTATCCCCTCTGATAACTGTAAGTTTGTTTTCTTACATCAGTGACTCTATTTCCGTTTTGTAAATAAGTTCATTTGTGCTATTTGTTTTAAGTTTGGGTATTGTTGCTTTACAATATTGTATCAGTTTCTGCTATACAGCAAAGTGAATAAGCTATATGTATATATATTCCCTTCCTCTTGGATCCGCCTCCCACCCATACCCCATCTCGCCCATCTAGGTAATGGTATAATATGATGTTTATATTTCTCTGTCTGATTTATTTCACTCAGTATGACAATCTCTAGGTCCATCCGTGTTGCTGCAAATGGCATTATTTCATTCTTTTTATGTCTAAGTAATGTTCCATTGTATATATGTACCACATCTTCTTTAGCCATTCCTCTGTTGATGGACATTTAGATTGCTTCCATGTCCTAGGTGTTGTAAATAGTGCTTATCAAAATGGGTGCTCAGTTTTGAAAAGACTTTTTTTTTTTCTGATGGGTAAGGGTAGCAATAATGGTGTAATAATACCAATCTAGGAATTAGAAGGCCTGACTGTGCCACTAGGAAGCTGTGTGACTTACATATGAAACTGCTTTGTTTCCTCTCTGGCCCTCAACTGCTGGGGATAATAATTACAATAATCTCAGAGGAAAATAATAAGGATTGAATTTGTCTATACTCATAAAATGCCTAGAGAAAACAGTCTAGTTGTTATTTAATATTCCACTTCTCTTTCTGGGACTCAGTTTCCTTATCTGTAACATAAGTGGATTCAATTTGATGTCAAAGTCCTTCCTAATTCTAAAGACCCATGAAATAAAAGTGATGGAAGTCTCAAACAATGATTTTAAGAGAGTTATTTTAAGTATATTAAAGGGAATCATAACCATTATGAGAAGTAAAAAATGTCAAAAAAGTACCAAAAGAAACTTTTAAAGCTGAAAAATTATAATAACCAAAATGAAAGATTCATTGGATGTGCTAAAAAAAAAAAGATTAAATATTGCAGAAGAAAGGATCAGTAAACTTGAAGATATGATAGTATTTCCAAAATGAAACAGAGAAAAAATACTGCCAAAAACAATTTTTAAAAGAAGAAGAGAACCTCAGAGACCTGTAAGATAATATGAAGTAGTTGACTATATCTACAGTCAGAAGGAGAGGAGAGGGTATGGGGCAGAAAACATATTTGAATTAATAAAGGCAAATTTCCCCCCAAATTTGATGAGAACTATAAATCCACAGAATCACACCAAGGCACATCATAATCAAACTGCTGGAAATCAATGATGAAATTTTTGAGTCCATTTTTTAAAACAGTTTGACACACGAAGAATAACAAAGTTGACTTTTCCTCAAAGGCTATACAAGCCAAAGATAATGGAATGGTATCTTCAAAGTAATGTGGAAGAAAAAGAGGAAACTTTTCATGTAGAATTTCATATTCATCAAAGATATCCTTCAACATAAAGGCAAAATAAAGAGTTCTTCTGACTAATAAAAATGGATCATTCTCTCACCAAAATTCATTCTGACCATAAGAAAGGTCAAAAGAAGTTATTTGGGAAAAATAATAATGGTATCAGAAGTGATATGATATTATTTGAAGGTAGGCTGTTTTAAGTTAATGATGAATGTTGCAAAGCTTAGAGTAACAGCCAAAATAAATAAATAAAATAGAATTGCTAATAAGTGATTTGGAATTAGAAAAAATAAACAAATCCAAAAGATGACAAAAAAGAAGAAAAACAGAAACAAAGAACAGATGGTACAAGTAGAAAACAAATAGAAAGTTGGTAAACCCAAACCCATGAGTATCAGTAATTACATCTTACATAAGTGGTATAAATGCTATGATTAACAGAGATTGGTAGACTAGATAATAAAGTAAGACCCACCTATATGTTATCTGCATGAGTCATACTGCAAAATATAAAGAGTCAGATAAGTTAAAACAAAATATTGGGGGAAAAAGTCACCATGCACAACCTAGGGATATGAAAGCCTTTTGTAATGATAAAGGGGCAAATCATGTATAAACCTGTTTATAGATAGATAATAAGAGAGCTTCAAAATACACGAAGCAAACCCTGATACAAGTAAAAGGAGAAACAGATAAATGCAAAATATAGTTGAAGATTGTAGCATCTTTCCCTCAGTAGTTGTTAGACAAGGAGGTGAAACTTGAGCAGCTTTAACAACCAACTTAATGACTTAAAACTGCACCCAACAATAGATAAAGGCAAACTTTGAAGTACCCGTGAAATATTCACTAAGAGCATATTCTTTGTCGTAAAACAAATCTCAATAAATTAAAAGGATGGAAAAAAATCTTTTAACTTTTTAAAGCAACACACATGCTGAAGTGTATTTTTTGTATAAAACACATAAAAGAGAGTCATGATTTTTGAGCTGAATATTATAATGTCTTTTCATCAACATTATCTTAAATATTTTTTCTCAAGCAATTCCATTTTTCTAAGAATTTATAGTAATGGTGTAATAACACACAGGCAGTATAGTTTATAATAATGGTAAATATGAGCTTATAAAAGTAAATGTATGCCATTAAAAATGTAAATATATACCATCTGTTTTCAATGTTAGTGTTTATATAAGATTTTATTTGAGAAAAATAGTATTTATTTTGCCACTGTTAAATTTTCTTAAAGTTTGAAATCACAGACTAATCCAAAAGATGCATACTAATTGGCACATTACAAATTTATTCTCATTTTTATCAACCATTGGAGAGAAGAAAAATACCCCCCAAAATGACAATAACAGTGACATACCACCACTGGTAACAGCTGTCATTGAATGCTTATTAAGTACCAAGTGTCGTTTTAAGTACTTTTATGCACTTAATTGTTCCTCTTACTTGCCTCCCACTTTACAGCTCAGAAAATCACACAAATAGTACATGCTGGTGCCAGAATTTGAACCCAGTCAAGTTATTTCACCATGTAGTTTTGCATTTGCAAAGCCAGGGTCAGACACTCTGGCATTTGACACAAGACCTTGTGATTTCCTACTTCAGCACTTTGCAACATACTTAATTGGTTCTCTTTTGCCTTGACTTCAAATTTGCCTCTTCACTGGTCTGTCTTATTTGATAAGTTCATCAAACATCAAGACTCTTTGTTCATTTTCAAAAAGGATTATAATGATAAGCTTTTATAATTAAGGGTATCTCAGCAGAGATTTCCTTTACCACAGTTCTCTGGCCTTTATCTTCTAATTATTAGAGATGAATTTTCTGATTTTTCGAAATGGTATTTGCTTGAAATACAAGTTGCAAATTAACTGCTTGTAAAAATGCCTTTCCCCCTTCGGAACTGTTGTTAGTTAAAGGAAATCTCTCGCTTAGCATTTAAAAGCAATAATGATTCAAAATTGAATCATCCAACAAGAATTTTAATAAAATAGCTCTACCTGAAATTTTCAATGTTTAGGAGCAAGGGACTCCTTTAAAACTATCCCACAGGCAAAATAAGAGGCTATTTAAGCACTACAAAATACTTGACGTTAAGATTAAAAAAAAAAAAAACACACATGAAGCAAGTTTGGGATATTCAAGAAAAAGGAATGCATAAAATGCAGCATACATAGATAAATATCTCTTCCATTCATTACTCCATAGCAAAAGGTTGACTTTCTGGAATGAAATGACTCAGTATCTTTATAGTCTCTTGTGTTTCCCAAGATAATTTTATATACTTTATCTAATTTTATCCTCCCCCAAACACTATGAGATGTGTATTCTTATAATTCACAAATGGACAAGCAGAGGTTAAATTGTCCCATATCATTCAAGAGAATTATCATTTATTAAGTTGAATATATTTTATATCCAGGATCTTATTTCATGTTCAGTAAGGCTACCCAGGTAGCGCTAGTGGTAGGACCGACCTGACAATGCAGGAGACATAAGAGATTCAGGTTCGATCCCTGGGTTGGAAAGACCCCCCTGCAGAAGAAAATGGCAACCCACACCAGTATTCTTGCCTGGAGAATTCCATGGACAGTAGAGTCTGGTGGGGTCGCAAAGACTCGGACACGACTGAAGCAACTTAGCACGGCTCTTACAGAAGAGGTATTATCATTTTCATTTGACCAATCGAGAAACAAATGAAAAGAGATTAGGCGATTTAGTCCAGATGACCCAGCTCCTAAGTCTTGGATTTGCACACAGGCCTATCTGACACCAAGTGAATGCTTTTTACTGACCTGGAGTCCTTCACTGAATTAGTAATAGCATGGAGAAAAGTCACGTTCCATCCTATAACAGCCTGTTGCAAAACTGACAGCAGCTTATTTCCCGGCTAAGTGACCCTTTAAACTGCAAATTTTGCAGAAACTCTTGGCCAACTCACCAGTTCACCTTCTCCTGTATGGTTATCCCAGGCTGATGAGTCATCAAAAATAAGAGGAAAAAAGCAGCAGCAAACATCTTATCCAGGAGCTACCAACCTGTATTACCTAGAGAGGAATAAAACTACTCAGGGAGTTGGAATAAAAGACATCTACAGTCTGGGATCTAGCTAATGATTAGCCAAATGCCCTAAAATCCTAGACACCAAAGGCCACTGACCCTCAGATCTTTGGAAAAACAATATAAATATGGTTGAGGAAAGGAGGTATTTATAATAACCAATATCAGCTGAGCAGAGGGATCTTATTTTCAGAATGAGGCAAAAACCAAACCAAGATATAGCTCCAGAATTCGTGATCTTTTCAAGTAGCTCCTGGAATTTCTGAGGTCAGATCAATTTGTTTTGTAAGACTGAAATAAGGCTAATACTGGCATTTCAACTCAGCTGTAAACAGCCAGCAAAATACAGGAAATGCTACTGGTTACACGGGGAAGTTCTCCAATGTATTGCCAAACATCTGGGGTCTGAGAAATGGGGATAATTGAATGGGCTTTCCACCTCTCATCCAGACATTGCGTATCATTACCATCTTGTTTTTATTTTTTGCCCCCCCCCTTTTTTATATTGGAGTATAGCCAGTTAACAATGTTGTGATAGTTTCAGGTAGACAGCGAAGGGATTCAGCCATATATATACATGTATCCATTCTTCCCCAAACTACCCTCCCATAGAGGCTGCCACATAACATTGAGTAGAGTTCCCCTTGCTATACAGTAGGTCCTTGTTGGTTATCCATTTTACACATAGCAGTGTGTACATATTCATCTCAGACTCTCTAATTCTCCCTTCTCCCTATTCTTCCCTCTTGGCAACCATAAATTTATTTTCTAAGTCTGTGAGTCTGTTTCTGTTTTGTAAATAAGTTCATTTGGATCATTCCTTTTTTAAAGTCTACATATAAGAGATGTCATATAATATTTCTAGCATATTTGTGTCTTCAGGGAACCAGATGCCTTAAATGGACATTTCCAGAAGCATCCTCTAGAATTGTAACAACAACCACACACTGCACTGATGATGCCATGTCTACATACCTTCTCTTACTCATCCAGACATAGTCATAAATCAATTGCATAGAGATGGATAGATACAAAGATAATAATTGAATGTGTGTCAGGCATTTCATTTGTCTTATTTTACTTAATCATCACACCAAGTTTATGAGATGGAAATGATTCATTTCATTTTGCAGTTGAAGAAATGAAGATCCAGAGAAGTTAAGCTGCTCAGGAAGAGACAACTGTCTTGATATCCTCAGCAATCATTAGATTCTATCATTAGCAGGATTTGCCAGTACTCACATTATTCATCTCAAAATTATTTTTTAAAAATGTACTAAATAACTTGCTTGCCTAAGAAATTTGTACCTGGTTTAATTGTGGAGATTTAAACAAGGTCCTCAGTTGTTATTATCTCTATTTCTTCAGAGATTAAGGTGCAGTTTGACAGAGGTGAATACCAATTATTCCAGGCCCTGGAAACTGCGCCCGCTTCCTGCCCCGTCTCTGATTTCTGTGTCTCTCTTCCTCCCTGTCTTTGTTTTGACTCCTGGGTCCTCTTGGCTGCAATTTTATAATGCTTCTGACCTATTTGGAAAACTCTGTTCTTTTACTTTTTCCTCAAGTAATGTAGCCATGACTAATACCTCATAATGCTTTTACTGACATGTGGATGTGATGGGAGGTGTTATATCTGGACACCCTAGGGACAGCTCTGGGAGGCACACCTGGAACCCACTTCTTTCCACCAACTCCCTAGGTGCCTCCGTCTTCCCTCCAGGCCCCTCCAAAGTCCAGGGTCTGAACCAGGTCATCGGCCCCCTGGAGCATGCGGCTCAGATTTTCCTCCCGCAGTTCTGCAGCGATTCTCGTGGGGAGCAGACCTGTCCCTACAGCAGGGGTCTCAGTGGGAACAGCTTTGCCTCTCGGGGGATATTTGGAAATTTCCAGGGACGTTTAAGGTCGTCACAACTTTGGAGGTTGTGTTGCTGGCATCAAGTGGGTGCTAAACATCCTACAGTGCAGAGGGCAGGTCCCCCAACACAGAATTCTCTAGCCCCAGATGTCAGTAGTGCCAAGGTTGGGAAACACCACCAAAAGGCTGGTCTGCCCTTCCCTGACCCCTGGAATCCTGGTGAATTAAGTTTCTCCTTCTTTTTGCATGCAGGTAATGTTGTCTTTTTTATTAGTTCAGTTCCTTCTTGGGATTTTCCTGTGCAAGTCCCCTCCACCAGGACTTCAGTGGCACTCAGGACTCCTCCTTAACTTCAGGTAACCTCTCTCACCTTCCACACCTCCAACTTGCTCCCTTAAATCCTATAATATTTTCCTTCCAAGCTTCTCTCCTTCACTTTCCCTTTGATCCATTTCAGGGCCTCGGCTCTCTCCTGAACTTGTCTAACAGCCTCCTAGGGCGCCTCTGTTTCACATCACTTCAACCCTCCATATGCAGTACAGCTGGATTCACCTTCAGGAAAGCACGATCTGAAAACATCACTCTCCTGCTCAAAGACCTTCTGTGGACCCTCTATTTTCTGTGAGCTCAGAAGTCCAAATTCCTCCACAAAAGCCCAATCCATCTTTGCAACCTTATCAGCCGCAACCCTCTAATTATCCTGCACCGTATGGTCTAGGTCCCCTCACCTTCCCCACACTCTCTCACTGCTGTGATCTTGCTCACGCTGGACATGGGCAACCTTTATCCGTTATCTGCTACTCTTTGGCCAAGTGTTTTCCCAAACAGCAGGTCCATCATAGAGCCTTGGCTGATGGCCCCATCTGGAAGGTGTCAGCTTGTTATCTTTGAACCTTACAAATACATCACCAGCACTTTTCATTTTTGCCATATGTTATGTTCTTCCAACAGAGTGCTGTATATCTTGAGAATGAAGGTTTCTCGAGGGTAATTCTGTATGATTCTCCTTTGTTGTCACCCTTATCATTGACCACTGAATCTTTCCTAAGAAATATTGAGTGATTGACCAAAGGACTAAAAATACTTTATAATTTCATGGTAGTTTCAAGTATATTTTCTCATTTAATCCTCAATATAATGTTGTATATAAATGTCATTACTCTGAAGAGAATCCTGAGAGTCAACGATATAGTGATTAAGGTAGAAAACAGAAGTAAGAGATATAGAGTGCCACTTTCTGTGGGTTTTATAAATCTCCTTTAATGTATTTAATCTTTACATGATCTTGCAAGACCACTAATAACAGTGTTGTTTTGCAAATGAGGACATTGAATTTCAGAGTAGTTAAGTACTTTGCCTGCAGTTGCACAGCTGGTGAGTCTCAGAGTCATGGGTTTATTTGTCCAGCTTTAAAAACTCAGATAGTTTTTGGTCTGGTCACACAATGACTAAAGCAATGTCTCAGGGCTAACATCTGGGTCTTCTAGCTCCAAGTCCAGTTCTCTGTTTATTATGCCTTAGCTCAGAGAATGAATACCATTTTCAAAGGCAAAAAAGCAAAATAAAGTGAATGGAGAGAGGCTCACAGGATAGTATCAAGAGAGAAGCTAAATCAGATGGGATCATTCCCTGCCTCTGTGACTGTGTATGAGTGCGTGTGTGTGTGTGTGTGTGTGCGCGCGCGCGTGTGTTGGAATGGGGGCAGGGTACACATCTGTTTTCAGCCAAAATCTTCTAAGATGAATGGGAAATGCCAAAAAATTGTTAACTTTGCATATGCGGATTTCACCTTAATTGTAGCATTCTGTTATCAGAGATAGATAGTTATAAAGTATCACGCAGAGTAGACAGCAAGATGGCAGTTCATTTTGAAAACACATAGCTTGTCTCGGGGAAACACTTTCCACTATCTGAATCAGCGTGTGAGTTATGGCCTCAGGATGGAACATGTCCTGTGTCAGCCCAGACTCTCACTGCAGGGTGACAGCCAGGCCTGTGCTCTTTGAAAAGCTGCAAAGCCCTAGGCCCATTCCCCTGTGCAGGGCCTGCAGGGTGCTCAATGCAGACACATCAAAATCCTGCAAAATGAATGCAGATAGAGGCAATTTGCTAGAATGCAAAGAGTGCAGCTGTAGGTCAGAAGACAACATTAACCCGTAATTGTTTCCTAACCTCAGTTTCTTTGTCTGTAAGATGGGTAAAGTAATAACTGTCAGGATAGGATTGAAGAATTGTAGAGGAAATTAGAAAATATCCTCAACTGGGAATTCTGAACATTAGTAACTTGTTTATTAAAACAATCCTTCCCCTTCTTTTTGTTCCTTCTTCCCAATACTGGTTTGTCTCTTTCATAGTGTGGAAGCTTTCATTTAAGAACCAAGGAAGAGGGGAAGTGGAAGAAAGGTGGGGCCTGGCAAAGAGAATGATGAAGGAGAATGAACTAAATGTGGGAGGTTCATGTCTCCCGGTATCCTGGGTTTGTTGCAGGAAAATGGAGCATGAGAGAGTGGTCATGTCTCAGGTCTTTGGTGAGTCCCTGGGATGGGCTACCAATGAGGGTTTTTAACTTCTTGCAGGAAATAATTCAAGAATGGGTCATGGGAAACTGAAAGCTGGTTTACTGAGATACACGTTCCATAGGAAGAATGAGGTCTGTCTCAGAAGGCAAGAGCAACCCAAGGGCTTAGCGTCATCTTGGAAAGTGATAGTGGCCCAAAATATTGGGAAGGTAATTTTTATGGTCTGGGTAATTTTATAGGTTAATGAGTGGGAGCCATTTTTCAAACTATTTTCAGGAAGGGGCAGGGATTTCCAAAAGTTGGGCCATCCACTTTTTGACCTTTTAAGGCAAAGGAGAGGCCCCAACAAGACAGTAGGAGGGGCACAATCATGTTTAATATCAAATCTCATACCCGCCAGAGATGCTCAGAGGGCACAAACAAAACCTCGTGCACACCAGAACCAAGGGAAAGGAGCAGAGACCCCCCACAAAAGACTGAGCCAGACCTGCCTTTGAGTGTTTGAGTGTCTCCTGCAGAGGCACAGGTCAGCAGTGGCCTGCCACGGGGACAGGGGCTCTGACTGCAGCAAACCTGGGAGGAGT